ACACACACACACACACACACACACACACACACACACACACACACACAAAAGGTTAAGAATACCTGGAACAGAGGAGAGACAGGAAATACAGTCTAGTGTATGAGGAAATGTTAAGATGGCCAGTATAACTGGACTGCAGAGAGGGTGAACAGCAGTAATATGTAATAAGATAGGCAGGGCCAGATTTTAAGGGGCTTTAAAAGCCAAACAGAAGTAATAAGGAGCCACTGCTGTTTCCTGAATACAGACGTAACATAGTCATACTTGTGCATAAGGAAAATCACTTTGGCAGTTGCATGGAGGATGGATTAAAATAGGAAAGATTTGAAGTAATGAGGCTAAGATGTAGGCTATTGTATTAGTCCAGACCATCGATGATGAAGCCTTGACCCAGAGTATATGAATAGAGAACATGAGAGATATTGTGGCGGTAGAATTATCTGGTAATTTTTTGGTTATTTAGGGTAAGAGTAAGGAAAAATGGATGACAAAGTTTAGAACCCAGGAGACTGTAAAGATGGAGGTGACCTCAACAGAAATAGGAAACTTCAAAAAAAGGAGGGGTTTGGATTAAACAATGTTGGGTTGAATAATTTAGTTGGAAATTTCCAATTGGCAGGTCACAGTGCAGGAGTAGAACTTAGGAAGGACATAATGGCTGAAGATACAGATTTGGGAGGCATCTGCACAGATATATGATAATTAAACTGACTCTAATAAGGTCACTGAGAGTGTTCAGAGAGAAGGAAGGAGCCTTGTAGAACACCAACTATTAGGAGGCATAACATAGAAGATGAGCCAGCAAAAAGACTGAGAAGAAGTGGTCAGACCGGTGGGAGGCTAACCCAGAGAGGACAGTGTCACTAAGGTGGTTCACAGTATTAAATGCTCCAGAAATGTCAAGAAAAATGAAGATTGAGGAATTGTCATCAGATTTGACAAATAAAAGGTCACTGATAAGTTTGGACATAATTTCACTTGAGCGATAAGGCTAGAAGCCTTCAAGGACTTCAAGGAATTGAGAGATGCCTCAGAGGAAAGGTGAGGGCAATAATTGCAGTCTGTCCTTAGATGCAGTCAGTATGTCAACTGATTTTGCTTATTATTTTTCTTTGTTATGAAGGTGTATACAGTATTGGGGGGACGGGCAGGAAAAGAGATGAGGGGGTCCCAGAAATGATGCAAGAATAATAATAGCTATCATTTATATATTGCTTTAAAGTTTGGAAAGCACTTTACATATGATATTTCACTTGGTCCTCACAACAACCCTGTGAATCAGTTGCTATTATTATTCCCATTTTACAAATAAAGAAACTAAGGTTGAGATAGATTAAGTAAATTGCCCAGGGTCACATAGCTAGTTAGAGGCTAAGGTAAGATTTGAACTCAAGTCCTCCTGCCAAAAACAAAAGATATTAATAAAACCTTTTTAAAATACGATACTTTGAGTTGGAGCAAATGGCAACGATCTTCTAGCCTTAGTCTTGCTAGTCTGCTAAAAAACAAAAAACAAAACCTCTTATTCCTCCAGAAAATGAAAATGTGTTGATTTCAACCTATAAAGAGGGCAGGTTGAATGTCTTAAGGGAATAAAGCTCCAAGACTCCTAATGTTTCCCCTACAAGACCTCAAGTCTGTCAGAATACAGAGTGAAAAACTTGTCTTACATTCTAATGAAGACTTTGTGAAATAACTGACCCAGAAGTTTGAAGGTATAGCTCAGACATGCCTGGCTATCTGGAAATCATTGTTTGTAAATCTCTTCTTATCTTGGGGATGTCACTAAAGTACTGTTTTCTGCCTCATTCCTTCTTTCCATCCCACCACCACCACCCATCACCAGCCCCTGTGCTTTCAGCCTGAAGTTAATACAGTGATAACTGAATACAGAACTGATAAGTGAACTGGGAGAGGTGAGAAAGGAAGGCTGATGAGGTTTCATAAGGAAAAACCCATAAGGAATGAGGACACATATAGAAAGCTGTGCATGATAAAAAGGTAGAAGCCAGTAGTCTCCAAATTAAAAAAATTTTTTTACAAAACCATAGGCCAAAGGGAAAAGAAGGTGACATTCCCAAAGTGTGAACTCTATCAAAGTGCCCAGAGAAAAAGGAAGAAAATTTTATCACTTAATACATTTGAACAATCCTGGACCAAACATTCTGAGCTACATTCTGTGGGAAGTAATTCTGTATGAGCGCCCAGAGAATGAACTGGATGACCTGACGAGTCTTCTCCATGATTAAATTTCTGGGAAGGCAGTATAACGACCAATGGGAAGCAACAGTATCTTCTCCGTTGTCCACTCTGGGTTTAGAAGGTTCTTCAAGAAGACATTGCGGGATCGATGAATCACAGAACTAAGCTCACAAAGAGCTGAATTCACTGCAGTAATTTTCCACATCATTCCTATCTGGTGGACAGGGAATACTGTTTTCCAGGCCTCTTAAATCTGATCCCCTTCATAAATACTTGAGTTTACTTTATGATTGTTTTTCTTAAACAATAACAATTTTAATAGAGAAATCTGCTTTTTTTTAACAACTTCCCCAGAGAATCGGAAATGATAATAAGAACTGATCTCCCTCTAAATAAAGCATAATTCCATTTCCTAAGGCAGAATCTCACCTTCGTTTTGCTTAAGGATGGTTTTCAGTCCCTTAAAAAAAAAAACTTAACTAAAAACAAAAAACTTCAAGACCACAGACCCTCCTTCCCAGGTCTTATCACCTTATTCAAATGAAAATCAACAAGAAAATTTAGCCAAGAACTGGCATATTGGCCCTCAGGGAAAGAGTACCTTAAATGAAACAGAATGGAGTATCAGGTCTGATTGAAAGTAGTTGCTGACACCTTCTGGTCAGTTGGCATCTCCACAGGCTGCAGGAAACAAACTTTCTTTTTCTTTCTTCATGATATTTAGTTCAAATGTACTCCCTCAGGGTCTACATGTGAATATGCTAAATCAAACCATATCCTCACTACACCTATGTTCCTGGTTCTATTTCCCCAAATAATCTTCAAAGGTTATGTCTCCCTTGATATAAGACAGCAGCTACAATCATACTCTTGGACTGAGGCAGGCTGATACCAAATGTCACTATAACTATTACCTTCCCTTCTCTACCCTCCTAAAAAAAATTACTACCAAGTAAGTGGATTTAAGAGTAATGGTGATTGGATTGGGCAGAGGTAATCATAAAATAAACATGGGTTGAAAATATGATGTTTTTCACTAAGCAAGACTTATTTGTCAGGATACCTAAATGGCAAGCCTGTCAGCAAGGGTAGGGAAAGGAGACTAATGATGAAAGGACACACCTTTCCTCTTAAATGAAAGGCAAAAATTTCATGGAGGAATGAGTGAAGTAGACAAAGGGTCACAGAATCATAGCTTTAGAACGATAAGGAAACTGAGAGATTGATCACTTAATCTAACTCTTGCATTTTATAGGTTAAATGACTAAAGTGCCCAAAGTTACACAGGTATTTCATGGCAGAACCATTCAAACCTGAGTTCTCTGACACATTTAAAGAAAACTGGTTTAAATAAACCAGATCACACTTCGACATGAACAGTATAACTAGCTTCAGCAAATGGTAACTGGGAATAGCATGAGATGCTCCCTACTTCCTAACAGAGGTGGTGGACTCAGAGTACACATGGAGACTTTTTTTCTTTTTCACCCAGCCAGTGTGGGAATTTGTTTTGTTTGACTATGTATATTTGTAAGAGGGATTTAATTGATCTTATTTTCAATTTGGGGGCTGTGAGGGGGAGGGAAGTGGGAGACTGTGGATCTGACAAGAAAAAATAAGATGTTTAAGTAGACAGGATTTAAAAGGGAAGCCATTTGTGCTTTTAAATCACTGGATTTTTCAGATACAAAAGCAATGTAATAAAATAAAAATTAGTAAATAAATGAAAAGGGGTGGGGAGAGGAACCAGAGAGGAAAATCTTCCTAGAAAGAATCCAGTGTAAAAATAGAAATAGTCAATTCCTGGGCTTTGGGTGGCTCCAGAGTGAACAGTTTCAACCTGCTACCAAGAGGGTGGATGAGGAAGCCAACTAGAAATGAAACCCAGAACAGCTACCCAAATTAAGAGACTTGATTTTGCAAGTTATGACTAGCTCAGAGTCTCAAAGAACACAGAGCTAAAAGAGAAGTGTCAAGAGGACCCAAATCAGATTAAAATGTAATTGGGAAATGTTTAACAAAATAAATAAAAATACAACAGAACACAGATAATGATAATTTCTGGTTTTATAAGTCAATAAGCTCCCCTCCTCTACCTCTGTGCCCCCACCCCCACCTCCAAGGATTCCTTGGAGTTTGTCACCAGGGACCCAATTCTATCTCCTCATTTTACACATGAATGAGGTCCTGAGAGGGGAGGTAACTCATCTAAGGTCACACAGCTACTTAATAATAGACTAGATTCTTGGTTTTCCCACTCCTATTCCAATGCTTTCTGTTGCATCACATTGACTCTCTAATCTAGTCATTATTTGAACATTATTTGAAGGATTTACATATGCTGTGATAAATTATTTCTTCATTCAAACTAGCCAATAAAACATTTGTTGTGACAGATATTGGGGAAGGTGGGTACTAAAGAAGAAACTATATGATTTCTAAAGTCCCTTCCAGGCCTAAATCCAATTGATCCCAAGAGCACCGATTTGGAGGAAAAAAAAATCAACCCTCTCTACTCCCTTGGTGGTACTGACTACAAATCATCCACTGGTGAAGTGTTGAAGAGCCTTCTAGGAAGCAGCCTTGAACCCATCTTGTCATAACAATCCCCACTGTGCTATTGCCCCAGCTATGCATGCAAACCTAAGCCACAAAAATCCTTCTGAGATCACAAAACTCATCCCTGTCTCCTCCCTGCTCTGGTTATGGTCACAGAGGTATTACAGCAGCAGGACAGGCAATAAGTTTCCACAGGTTGAAGAGGTATATATCAGTGTTGTAAGTTACAAGTGTTCACTAAAATTCTAACTTTCCTTTCCTTTGGCTCTAAACAAATTTACTTTTTTGCCAGTCCTTGAGCATACACAAAAAGCTTTAAGAGAATGGAGAATAAAGCCAACCAAATCTGGTGCAGAACCAGGACAAATAAACAGTAGGACCAACCAAGCTGCACGCACAATGTGCAATGTCCTCTCCTCGTACCTTGGCACTCAGTTTCTTCTTCTTCAGGGGCTTTTCCTGTGCAAGGGGCTCCTCTCCTGCCACCAGCTTCTTTAATTTCCTTTTCTTTTTCTCTGACACTTCAGACCTTTTCTTCTTTTGCTCTGGCATCCTGCAACAGAGAAAAAAAAATACATAACTCTCAATGCATTTAAAAAATAGTTCTCAGACCATGTATTTTTGGAGAAGTGGAAAAACAATCATTATGGGCTTCCCTGGCTCCCTCCAAAATTCAGCTCAAATCCCACCCAGTGGGACCTTCCAAGCATCCCTTCCACTGCTAGTGCCTTCTCTCTGATATTACCTTCCATTCACACTATATATATAGATAGATATATATATATATCTATATCTATAGATATAGATATAGATATATCATTTATACACATTTGTTGGCGAGTTCTATCCCCCATTGGAATGTGATCTCCTTGAGGGCAGTGACTCAATTTTTACCCTTCTTTGTATCCTTTCCACTTAGGATAATTCCCAGCATATAGTAGGGGCTTAATAAATGCTTACTGACTGAAGCTATTGCAATTATCCAGGTGAGAGGAGATGAAAGCCTAAACTAGAGTGGCGGCTGTGTTAGATAGGGAGAGGGGGTCAACTGCCAAAGAACGTACTGGAGATGGAACAGACAAGACTGGGCAACCAATGGAATATGTGCCTTAAGGGAGAGTGAGAAGTCAAGGATGGCTTTAAGGTTGTGAATGAGAAGGGGGTGGAAAGTGGTGGTGGAAGGAGGATAATATCCTCAATAGTAGAAAAGAAGTTTGGAAGAAGGTGGGTTTGGAGGGAAAATTATGAGTTATTTTGGTTATGTTAAGTTTGAGATCCCAAGCTCTGTAAGGAAGGTAGGTCTAGAGTTCAAGACATAGATATACATAGAGAGATATATAGCATACATATGTGTATATATGTATGTGTACAAATACACATACATACATACATGTACATTTTGCACTCATCTACATAGGGATGACAATTGGGAACAGATGAGATCACAAAGAGTGTAGAGAAATAGGATCCAGGATGGAGCCTGGGGTTTGAGAGGGGGGTTGATATAGATGACGAAGAGAAGAAATAGGCAGACTGGTAGAAGGGAAACCAAGAAAGATCAGTGTCAAGAAAACCCAGAGAAGAGAGAATATCTAGGAGACGAGTACTATCAACAGTGCTGAATGCGGCAGAGGTGTCAATAGAAGTGATGCTTGAGATTGCTAATTTTGGAGAAAGCCAGTTTTTTGGCTTGGTTTTTTTTTTTCCTTTTTTGACGGAAGTCAGAAGTCATACTATTCGAAGAGTGGGGTGAGAAAAGGTGTCAAACAGTTACTGCTGTGGAGGAGTTACTTAGGATGTGTACAAAAGAGATGCAATTGGGGGGAGGAAGAGGAAGACCTTGATGTAAGGAGGCCCAGTTGAGAGGAAATAACAAAAATGTGTAGTGAGCTCATTCACATGACTTGATCTGAACAGCACACAAATGAAATCAAAAAAGAAAGACCACAGAGAATAAATACAGAGTAGAGTACGGCAAGGTGTGGTGGCAACAGACAAGTGGACAAGGAATTCAAAAGTAGAAGGCAGTGTAACACTGCAATGACTAGTGATTGGGGAAAGACTGGGAGGGGAAGAAAGGAAAGGCAGAGCTGGGATGGTGAATAGGCTGGAAGAGTACTGAGGGGTAATGGACTAGAGGCCAAGATGGATGCCAAAATAAAGCAAAGAGAGAAAAGAACATCAATGACACATTTAAAACACACAGAAGACAAGAGAATTAAGTTCAGAAGAGATAACAAGATGAGCAGGGCAATGATGTACTACCACAATGAGTTTTGTTTTTACACACAAGCACACAGAGCAGCAGCAGCAGCAGCAGCAGCTAGGTGGCGCCATAGTGCACAAAGTGCTGGGCCTGGAGTCAGGAAGACTCATCTTGCCAAGCTCAAATCTGGCCTTGGAGACTTACTAGCTGTGTGACCCTGGGTAAGACACCTAACCTCTGTTTGCCTTAATCCACTGGAGAAGGAAATAGTGAACCACTCCAGTATCCCTGCCAAGAAAAGCCCATGCACAGCACTGGCATACTATGGTCCATGGGGTCACAAAGAGTTGGACACAACTGAACAACAATAACACACACACACACACACACATACACACACACGTATGTATGTAATAGTCAAATAGCTGTATGTAATAGTCAAAGTTCCCTATATAATCCTCATTTTCTGGCCTTCTTTATATATTGAAATTTTAATGTTTGATGATTTTCTGGTTCATAGGTTAAGGATCCAACCTATGACTTTCTTGGTATGGGGAACTTTTAGATAAGGAAATTACCTTTCCCAGTGCAGGCTGACACCAGAGTCTTAGAGAATTACCTCCAACACTGAGAAGATAAATAACCTGCCTAGGGTCAAACAGTCTGTATGTATCTGGGGCAGGATTTGAAACCATGTCTTCCTGGCTAAGAGTCTGGGCCTCTAGGTAACACTGCCTCTTCTAGTCCATTATAATTTTTTAAATACATATGTATGTGTATGTATACACACACACACACACACACACATATAGTTTACAAAACATCCTACATGTGTTATATACTAAGAGCCTCACAACACTTAAAAGTGGCTACCATAGGTACTAAGACTTTTATTGGCAGAGGAAAAATGAGGCTCAGAGAGATAAACGATTTGCCCATGTTGACACAGCCGATAAATGCCAAAGGTGGGATCTGAACCCAGTCCTTTTACCCCTAGGTCTAGCCCTTTAAACACCATGCCATGTGCTCTCTCTCTCTCTCTCTTTTGATTTCTCTGAAACATTGGTGACCAACCCCTCTTTCTAGATAGATAAACTTTGTTCTCTGAATTTTCCTGACACTGCTCTCTTCTGGTTCACCTCCTACTTGACTGAGGACAAAGGTAGGAATTCTACCCATCCCAGAACTATGTTCTGGATGTGGACATTGGCTTATGCACTCCTATGCTTTTTCTCTGCCTCCCTCCCTCCTTCTCTCCCCAGCCCCCCAATAATCTAATCAGCTCCCACAGATTCAATCATAATCTCTATTCTGATAAGACCAATCTAAATATTCAGCCCTCAATCCTCTCCTGAGTTGACGTCCTATAATACCAGCTGCCCGTTGGCTATCTTTACCTGGATGTCACAAAGGCTTCTCAAACTAAATAAGTTTAACTATTTTCCCCCCCAAAAAACTAACCCTCCACCAAACCTCCCCATTACCATTGAGGTAACCACCATCCTCCTAAGTGGCCCTGATCCCAATTTCAGTGTCAGCCTCAGACTCCTTGCCCTTATTCATAGTACGTGACCAACCAGCGGCCAAACACCCCTTCTCTCCAATCATAGTTACCACCCTACTTCAGGTCTTCATCACCTCTTGCCCAGCCTACTGCAATATCCTCCCAATTGGTTTCCCTGGCCAAATCTCTCTCTATTCTAATACAGTCTGGCCATATCAGCCCCCCTGCACTATAGAACATGCTTAATAAATGCTTGTTAACTGACTGTGATCCCTCCTCTTTCCACTCCCACTGTCCCCATCTCAATTCAGGCACTCATCTCTTCAACCAAAATGACAATAAAAGCCTCCCAGCTCATCTTTCTGCCTCCAAACCATCCTTCACACCAGCTTTCTGAGGAATCTTCCTAATTTACTGCTCTAATCAAGTCAATTCTCTACTGAAAAACCTTTAATATCTCCCTAGTGCCTACTGAATAATGTATCAATTCCTATTGCTGTCATTCAAGGCTCTCTACAATCTGGCTCCTGGAACAGGTCCTCCTCTAGGATTTTCCTCATAGGTCAAATCTGGTGGCACTCCTTTGCCAGAGCCTTTGATCATCCTTCCTTCAGGTGAAAGCGATCTTTCTTTCCTCAACGGTCTCAGAGCATTTTGCCTCATCTTAGACCTCTGCACTCATCTCCCAGATGTCAGTGTCCCTCCCCTCACTGTGTCTGTATTAGTCCAGACATGCATATATTTTATAATTATATTTTAATACAATATGACAATATGTAACATAACCCATATACTGTTCCTATAATTATGTTATATTAATTGTACCTATTATTTGCTATATAAAATTAATACATAATCAAATATATAATTAATGATATAATAATGTGCATCATTATGCCTATGTAATTAATATATAATCAAACATATAATTAATAATATAATAATGTACATCACTATGGCTATATAATTATACAAATAAACATACATGTCTGCACTTACTTCTTAAGTGCAGAGAACTCCAGGTGAAAAAACTCCCTTCACCAATGGAACCTGCCAATTACCCTGTAACTAAGTCACTAAAAGGCTAACTGATTTACCAGGGCCACTTACCCAGGAGGGCAACTAGGTGACACAGTGGATAGAATGCTGGGCCTGTAGTCAGGTAGACTCATCTTCCTAAGTTCAAATCTGGCCTCAGACACTTATTACCTGTGTGACCTTGGGCAATCACTTAACCCTGCATTCCTCAGTTTCCTCCTCTGTAAATGAGCTGAAGAAGGAACTGGTAAACAACTCCAGGATCTTTACCCAGAAAATTTCAAATGGGGTCATGAAGAATCAGACATGACTGAAAAATAACTGAACAAAACCAATTCACCCAGTTAAGTATGTATCAAAGGCACACCTTGAACTCAGGATTTCCTGACTTCAAGGCCAGCAGTCTATCCACTACAACCTGCTGCTTCTTATAGTACAGTGCATCTCCAGTATGTACTTATTTGTGAACCTGCTGCACCCCACTAGTAGATCATAAGCCTTTGAGGACAGAGACTGAATCTCACTTTTCCCATCAACTAACACAGTGACTGGCACATAGTAGGTACTTAATAAATTATGTTTGCTAAACTACAGTTGTAAAATGAAGATTAAGCTCCCTGACCACAGGGACTATATCATATCCATCTTTGTACCCCTAGTAACTGACACAATGATCTGACTCCAAATCTAACCCTAAAATGCTTAATGTGTATTGGTTGAATTGAGGTCTCACTCCATTCAACTCTCTAATGGTCACCCATACACGCTCCAGGCCTTCCTGTCTCTGTGGCTTTGCTGACACTATTATCTATCTATGGGATGCCTTAGCTAACCTGTTATACACATAAAGTATATATATATATACACACACACATACACACAAGCCTGGTGAACGGTTACCTGTGCAGTAAGGCCCAATTCAAATGCCATGCCCTCTTCAGGAAGTCTTCCCTGAACTTCCCAGTTAGTCTTTTCCCTTAAGGAATTTCCTCCTTGGTTTTTACTTAGTAACTTGCTTGTACCTCTCATGCACTTAGATAGCAAGATAGAGCATTTATTAAGCAAGACAACAACACTTGGGCAGCTAGGTGGCAAAGTGGATAGACAGCTGGGCCTAGAGTCAGGAAGACTCATCCTTGTGAGTTCCAATCCAGCCTCAGACACTTAGTAGCTGTATGACCCTAGGCAAGTCACTTAAACCTGTTTGCCTCAGTTTCCTCATCTGTAAAACACAATGGAGAAGGTAATGGCAAACCAATCCAGTATCTTTGCCAAGAAAACTCTAAATGGGGTCATAAAAAAGTCAACATAACTGAATAACAACCTTGGGGGCAAGTCAAGGTTTAGTAAAATAAGGGAAAGTGGGGTATGGCAGAAAGGTGCTAATCAATAAGAAGACACTAAGGAGGTGAAAAGGAGAATGATAATTCCAGAGTTGAAGAACCTACCTGCAATCCACTCCAGCAATTTTCCAGATGTTAATAGCAAGAATAATTAATGATTCATAAGAATAATTAACAATTAAAGATTGAGGAAGAGGGAGAAATTTTATAAAAACTTATGGTGGCCACATAACACAGTAAGTTCCAAATGCATTCTTGATTTAAATATAAAAGGTCACACTTTTAAAAGTAGGTGAACAGGGTAGAGGAAACTTTCACACCTATGGCCAGGGGGAAAATTCTTAACCAAACAAGAAATAGAAGAAATCATAAAACCCAATAGATTGTTTAAGGGAATCAAAAAAGTTTTGCAAGAACAAAATCAGTGCAACTAGGGTTAAAGGTCACTGATGGGGACAAAAAAAGTCTTCATGTCATAAATCTCAGACAATGCCTTAATGTCAAAAAGACATAGGTCATTAACACAAATATATGAGACCAAAAGCCATGCCCAAATGGTAAGTGGTCAAAACATATGAACAGCTCAATGAATTTCAAACTATTAAGAACCAATGAAAAGTTGTCCCAGATCACTAATAATAAGAGAAATACAAACAACTTTCAGGTTTCATTCCAATGTCAGAGACTTCAGGAACACCAGTACATTTATACATTGTTGGTAGAGCTTTGAATTGATCCAAACATTCTGAAAAGCAATTGTGCTTTTAAAAGAAAAGTGACCAAAATATCTATACTTAGACCCACTGCTAGGTATATGCCCCAAGGAGGTCAAACATGGAAGGGTCTCATATATACAGAAATATTAGGACCAGTACTTTTTGTGGTATCAAAGATGTGAGGGGAAAAAAGCATGTACCCATAAAATGGAGAATGGTTCAACAAATGTAATGCTATATTACTGAGCTATAAGGAATGGTAAATATGAAGAATTAGAAGAAACAATCGGATTTATGTAAAGTGAAATGGAGTGAAGAATTGGGAAAATATACACAATGACTATACAGCAGTAAACAAAACTGGAAACTGTGTCATTCATTATAATGACCAAGCTCAGCCCTGGAGAACAGTTGGAAAAATGTACCCCTTCCCTCCACTGCAGAAGTAGAGGATTAAAGGTGTAGATTATTGCATATATTATCAGACTTGAAGTGTTGGCAATTTTGTTGAATTTTTTTTTAAATCTTGTTACAACAGAAGGCTCAATGAGTGGGATAAGGGAGTAAAAAGGGATAAATTCAGAAATGAACGTCATATAAAATCAAAAGATAACAATAAAAAAGAGAATTGAGGTTTTAAAAACTAGCTGGCTCAGAATTACTGATTGAGAGCAAGCACATGAAAATCAGTTCTCAAGTCCACTGGTTAATACATAATAATAACCACAGGTAATAATAATCATAATAACTAGCATTTATTTAGCTCCTTTAGGATTGCAAAGACTTTTAAAAATAGTATCTCATTTTATTTTCATAACTTTGAAAAGCAAGTGCTATCATTCCCATTTTACAGATTAGAAAACTAAGGCCCACACAAGTTAAGTGACTTGCCCAGGGTCACGAATTGAGTAAATATTTGAGGTGGAATTTGAACCCAGGTTTTCCTAACTCCACTTCCTGAGAGCTCTCCACTCACCACTTAGCTATACATATGTCCTTTGTTTCCTTTATTTACTTATTATTGATGTTTGTTATTCATTTCCAGTGGGTATGGGAATAGGTAGACTACAGTGAGATCTCTAAAGAGTTTCTGACCCCAAGCTAGTCCAAAGATCAAAAGGGTTTTATAATCATTGCCACTTATATGAGGAGAAACTCTTAGCTCTCTTTTCTTAGGGCTGCCTCCTTCAATACCAAGGCACTCCAAATGAGAAAAGGAGCGCTCTTAAAACTTACCAAAATCGATACACAATTCTCACAATGATGATGAGAGATATCATGATACCACTAAGTGCCACTCCTGTTAGGTTCCTAAGGCAGGGAGAATTCTAAAAATGAAGGGTGGCAGGGTGAGGAGGAGTGCTGCCAGGAAAATATAGTTAGTTATTCCCAGGACTGAATTTCTCCTTATTCTCCTGTTGCCTTTTACAATTCTGAGCATGTTTTAGACTCACTGGGTCTATGAAGCTAAACTATCCCTCATACTCCTCCCCATACCAAATATATTAAACACAAACATGGGCATAAATACAGTGGGGTGGGGGGAATTACCTCTCTCCTCACATAGATCTAAAAGTCGGTTTTGTGACAGTTTCTGGCACCAATTTTGTTGAGAAGTCTAACCACTTCTATATATTTCCTCCTCTTCTGACATCAAAGAAGAAAATCATCACTACCCATATCCCCAACTCAAACCATAGAAACACCAAAGAGATATCCACAGTTTTTTAAGCACTCATGACTGTTTCCAATTAAAAAGTGTATCATAGCAATCAGTCAACATGTATATATCGAGCCTATTATGTGGCGCAATGGATAGTGCTGGGGTTGGAGTCAGGAAGACTCATCTTCCTGAGGTCAAATCTGGTCTTGGATATTTACTAACTTTTTTACCTTGGCCAAGTCATTTAACCCTGTTGGCCTCCGTTTCCTCATCTGTAAAGTAAGCTGAAGAAGGAAATAGCAAACCACTCCAGTATCTTCGCCAAGAAAACCCCAAATGGGGTCACAAAGAATCAGACACAATTGAACAAGTGCCAAGCACTGTACTATATGTGTGTGTGTGTGTGTGTGTGTGTGTGTGTGTGTATATACATCAAGTACATCAAGTATATTTAAGTCTCTTACATGTCAGGCATTGCACTATCTATTGTGATGTTCTCATTCTCTCTCCTCCCCACCTTTTTTTCTCATATATATACACATATATGGTACCACACTATACTTGCATTATATATATAAATATATATGGAAAAAGAGAGTGAGTGCATGTGTGTGTGTGTACAGCACAATATATAGTACAATGCCTGGCACATAATGGGATATACAGCACATAAATATAACGATACATAATATATATGAAGTGTAAAAAGGGTATTATATCAACCAGACAACAAATACATATATATATATATACATATATTCATACATACATGTAGTGTCTATCATGTGTCAGATACTGTGCTAGTCACCAAGGCTGCAAGTACAAAAAATGAAAGACGCTTACCTTTTAATGGGGGGAAACAAGTCATTATAAAAATATACACAGCATAAAGATAAAGGTAATACACACATGTATGTATATGTATACACACACTTACACACATATGTACAAATATAAAGTAAATACAAGATAATTTGGGAAGGAGGAGACTAGCAGTTAGAGGGGATCAGGATGATGGTACCTGGCTGCATCTTAAACATCTACAGCACTTACTTCTTCAGGATGATCTGAGAATTAAATGAGATAATGGATACGAATTATTTGAAGTCAGTAATGCCTTATAGTGCCACATAACGTAACATAACATTGAATTAATGGTACTATTATTATCATCGATAGCATGTTCATGTACTAAGACCACTCTCAAAACAAAAAGGAACCCCGGATCCGTGCTTTTTCAAACTAAGCTTCTGAGTGGCGCGCAGAGGCTCTGCAAACCTACTTTTACAAGTGAGAAAGCTGTAGTGTGCACACAGTATGCACCAATGAATACTTGGTGCATCATCCTGACCGACACCACAAAGCCACAAACCGCAAGCCCTTGCCCCTGTGGCACGGCCCGGGGGTCTCTCCCGGTCCCCTCCACGCCACACTTCACGAGCACCCCTCAAACACCACGTGGGCGATTCTCAGCCCCTCACGTCGGACTTCCCCTTCTCCTGCCCCAGGCCCCCAACCTCTGAAGCCACCCGGGACCATGCGAGAGCGAACCGCTTGCGGCCAACACTCGGTCCCGCCGCCTGTCACCTCACCTGCACGTGGGACGCTTAATCTCAGGAACTTCCAACCTCTGTCCTGGGGAACTACCTTAACAAGGGACCGCTCGTCCCCCCCCCCTTAGATCCCGCCCCCCAGGAAACTGACCCATTCCCATTGGAGGAGGCCTAGGACCATTTACTCTACATCCAATAGCAAGCCGCAGATCCAAGACGAAGTCACTTAATCCCGCCCCTTCCCCCCCTCTTCCTTGTCATGGAAGGCGGGGCTGCGTGGTTGACGTCATCTCTAGGCGCCGGTCGTTGCTAAGAGAACTGTTGGTTGCTAGCGCCGCAGGTCGCTCCTGTGGACCAGTTCCTAGGTTGTGTGTCGAATCCTGTCAGGGTCGCGCTTGCACTCCTCGGGAAGGTAGGAAGCCTGAGTTGTTTGTTTGCTTGTTTTTTGCTTTTTGTCTTCCCAAACTCAGAGGCCACAGCTCTCCTTCCTCGGCTTCCCCATAGAAACCTCAGTCGGCCCGGCCCGAGCGGTCACGAACACGAGAAAGGGCTGATCCGTCGGGCCCGAGTCCTTTGGGTGGGTGAGGCCGGCGGGCCCCTCCTGTCCGCCTGCCCGATTCGTTACCTTCGCTGTGACTTTAGCAGCGAAGGGCGCGGTCCGGAAAGGAGAGAACCAGCTTCGTACTGGAGGCCTCGTGTGGGAGGAGGCGGGGTCCGAATAGCCTCAATGTCTCTGGAGGGCCTGTGAGGCCCGAGTGAGATCGTGGAAGCAAAACAGCATGTGGCAAACATTAAATCGTAAGAGAAGTGCCACTTAATTATTATAATAATCCGTGTTAATTAATATTCTATAATATAATTTGTCGTTCAGTCGTGTCCCACCCTTTGTGGGATTTTCTTGGCAAAGATACTGGAGTGGTTTGCCATTTCCTTCTCCAGCTCATCTTGCAGAAGAGGAAACTGAGGCAAATAGGGTTAAGTGACTTGGTCCAAGGCCCCACAGCTAGTGAGTGTCTGAGGCCGAATTTGAACTCTGGAAGAAGAGTCTTCCTGACCCTAGAAGTGGCACTCTATTGTGCCATCTAGCTTCCCCATTTATCAATATTTATTGTTAATAGTATTAACAAATAATATTAATGGTGTTATTAAATAACTTTATTAAATATAATTACTATTGTGATGTTAATGTCCCAGTCTTATTGATATAATTGGTAATTATTGATTACAATGATTAATTATCCCACAGTCAGCAGGCCCAGTCTAGTAGTGACACTTATTTCCCTGAACTTTTTATTGCCCTACTGCTGACTCTAGCAATTTTCTTAGAGCAACACAGGGGTGTGCTGGTAAAATGTTTAACAACTTTGCTTTGGGAGGTGGGTGGTAATATATGTACATACACACACTTTAACGTTTAATCTGTTTAACCATATTAACAATTATGCCTACACAAACAGATCAACAGTCAACAGATACCACAAACATAAACAGATCTGTATTGTGTTCAGATTTAGGCAGTGTGAATGCTCACACTGAAAGTTTAACCATCAGAAGCTTAGAGCTGGCTCCCTCCTCCCTGACCCAAAACAAATCCTCAAAGTGGGTAACTCCTAAAATGGATTCTCCCTTTATCAATGCTGATCAGCAGCCCCTCAATCTAACAATCTTCCTGTGACTTGCCCCTGGTCTAACATCTAGTAAAGTGGCAGTTACCTCCTGGGCAGTCTTGTGGCTGAGGCTGGGATATCCACATCATCTTTTCTAGAAATTCCAGGTTTAACAATAAAAAAAGTTAACTATAAAGTGTTCCTTGCCCACTTTATTTCTAATAATAAATCAGTGCATAAAGCATTTATAAAATGCTTACTAGGTATTAGGCACTTAGCTGAATACTAGGGTTATAAAATACAAGTTAAAAGAAAAAGTCCCTGGCCTCAAGGAACTTTTATTCTATTGAGGGAAGACTACCCAAAAGTGAGCTGATTAAGTGGGAGCGGGTAAAGGAGAAGTGGCTTGCTTAAGTCTGGGGAATCAGAAGCATTGCTAGTAGGGAAAGGAAGGTTGTCTGGCTGGGACCACTGCCCCAAATGAAAGAACCATCCCTTCCTCTTACCCCCCAAACTCATCAATGAAAGGAGCCCAGGGAGATGATACTCCACCATAAGAATGCCTTAGACATTGAGGGAAATTTTAGATCCCATTAAAGACCTACTATGTCTATGAAACCTGCTTTGAGGATTAGAACAATAAGAACAATAGTAGTTAGCATTTATATGTGCCAGGCACGGGCTACATGCTTTACATTATCTCATTTGGTCCTCACAATAACCCTGAGAAGGTTATTATTGCCCTCATTTTACAGATGAGAAAACTGAGAAAAAGTTAATTGACTCGACCCAGGTCAAACAGCTAATGTCAGAGATTAGATTTGATTTGAGATTTGATTCCAGGTTCCAGGGTGGGCACTATTCACTGCACCATCTAGCTCACGTTATCTCCCCTTTCTGTCTATTCCACACAATTATAACATCACATACTTATTTTTTAGTTATTAATATATTTTTCTTCCCAATTACATGTGAAAACAATTTCTTAACATTTTTTTAAGTTTTGAATTCCAAATTTTATCCCTCCTTCCCCCCTCCCTGAGAGGGTAAACAATCAGAGATTATACATGTGCAATCATGTAAAACATTTCCATATTAGTCACTTTGTACAGATAAAGAAAAAGGAATGAAAGAAAAATAGCACACTTCAGTCTGTATTCAAACAATATCAGTTCTTTCTCTGGAGGTGGATAGCATGCTTCATCATTAGTCCTTTGGGATAGTCTTGGATCATTGTATTGCTGAGAATAGCTAAGTCATTCATAGTTCCTCATTGTGCAGCATTGCTGTTATTCTGTACAGCATTCTCCTGGTTCAGTTCATTTCACTGTATCAGTTTCTGTAAATCTGTTTTTCTGAAATCATCCTGCTTATCATCTCTTAAAGCACAATAATATTCCATCACAGTCATATACCACAACTTGTTAAGCCATTCCAATTGATGAGGATTTCCAAATTCTTGGCTACCACAAAAGCTGCTATAAATAATTTTGTACAAATAGGTCTTTCTCCCCTCTTTTTATGTCCTTGGGATATAGACCTAGCAGTGGTATTGCTGGATCAAAAGGTATGCAGTTTTATAGATCTTTGGGCTTAGATCCAAATTGCTCTCCACAATGGTTGCATCATTTCACAGCCCCATCATCAGCCCTGTTAGTGTCCCAGTTTTCCCCTCCAACATCCATCATTTCCTTTTGTAATATTAGCCAATCTGACAGGTGCAAGGTGGTGCCTCAAAAGTTGTTTTAATTTTCATTTCAATAGTGATTGAGAGCATTTATTAATTGGGGATTGACTTGCATTTTTATAAATTTGACTCAGTTATGTATTTGAAATACGAGGTCTTTATCAGAGATACTCGTTGCAAAAATTTCCCAGTTTTCTGCTTTCCTTATAATTTTTGTTGCATTGGTTTTGTTATGCAAAAACTTTTAATTTTACATAATCAAAATTATCTGTTTTGCATTTTATAATGCCCTTTATTTTTTTTGGTATTATACATTTATTTTCAAATTGCCTTTCATTAAATTTGGGACATGACATGCTGCCTCAATGACTAGTTTTGTTCATGGTGCCCCATATCAAGAAATTTAATGGGCAAAATTACTCAATACTTTATGGACAGAACTTATCCTTTACTTACTGTTACCATGCACATAGTAGCTACTCAATAAAATTTAAGATTTAGCTGTCAAGCCTAGTGAACTGTATCTCAAGCCAAAACATGATCAGCTCTACTAATTAGTTCTCATATTATATAGTGACTTGTTCACTGATGAAAGAGCTAGATTCTTCTGCTTTCCAAATAATGTGCAGCTCAGCTCTTGACTAGATTCTTGTGCTTAAGGTCTATCAGTATATGAAAAATTTAAGAGTTCTTTTAAAATTTCCAGTTATGAGTGTGAATCTACCAGTGGTAGATCTTTATTTCTTAGGCCACGGAATTTGTAATTTGATAGAAACAAATTTCAGAACTCTCCAAAAAGCAATTACAGTTCATAGGATCATAGGTTTTAAGCTGGAATTAGCGGTAGGAATCATCTAGTCTAATGGTCCTCAGAGTATAGTCTTGGGACCATGAAGTCAAAATTATTTTCATAACAATACTAAGATGCTTTAATTTCTAATATGGCAAATTGTCTTTCATTAGATTTGGGACATGATATATAATATAACCCTCACAAACAAAAGCTTAGAGACAAGAGTCTTCAGTAATTTTTTACAAGTATAAAGGAGTCCTAAGACCAAAAAATTTCAGAATCTCTGCTCTAATCTTATCAACTCAGCTCACTTACTTTGGGGGAAGGTTTTAAGGAATTACCACTATTTTTTAAATATGGTGTACTGACACATACTTTTTGAAACTTCAAAAAAAATTTAATACTTTTTAATCTATTTAAGGATAACTTATTTAAAGGAAAGGATAGCACTAATTTTAAAAGGAAAATGGCTTACCTCACAGACCTTGCATGTTCTGCTAAGGAGGTAACATTTTTAAAGGTGGGCACATTCCAAGTACAAAGTGGAAAAACTGAAGTTTCCTAAGTAGTCCCCTACCATCATCCTACTCTCTCCCCATACAACCCTCAACCTTTAGGAATTTTCTTAAGGCTGCTACACTATACCTAGATTTTGTGGCAGTATTTTTAAAAAATTGTGTGGCCTAATAATTTTGCCCAAGTTTTATGCTGTTGAGTATATAGTATTCTAAATAAATAAAATGCTAATTATGAACATTTCTCAAAGTACAGTTGTGTATCAAAACCTGACACCTTGTGGACAACATTGGTTTCACATCTGTAACTGGGATACGTTCATTTGGACAGTCAATTATAAAAAGACCAATTTGATACATTCAAAGGATAACAACTTATGTTTATAGTTATCTTAAAGATTTCTAGTTCAGCACCTACGTTTTAGATAAAACAGACCTAGAAAAATTAAGTCACCTCCTTTATTCAGTGGCAGAGCTGACACCTTCACAACTTGCATTTCCATTACACTTGTGACCAACAGTATTTTAAAGGGAAAAGCCATTTAAAAAAAAAATGTTCTTAAAATGCTGGTTCAGAGAACGGCATTGTAGAGTGGCTAAATGAGAAAAACTCATTTTTATTGCTATTTTGAAAATATGTACAGTATAAAGGGAATAAAACGGTTTCATCTCAAACCCAGCAAGTCATTGTTCCTGTTAATGAAGCAGTACAGGTACAATTATTTTGGCTAAGAGTCACATTATATGACACTATATGAATTGCATGCAGTGTGCCTCCTGTTTCAGGTCCCCACCTCTTTCTCAAAGTGACATACCAGTTCATTGTCACCATATTAGTTCAGTGTGTATTTTGAAACGTAGGTCTGAAGATGAGGCACTGTATCCTGAAGTCATAGGGACTGCTAGGTGGCGCCATAGTGCACAAAGTGCTAGGCCTGGCTTCAGGAAGACTCACCCTACTGAGTTCAAATATGGCCTCAGACACTATTGTGTGACCCTGGACAAGTCACTTAACTGTTTGCCTCAGTTTCCTCATCTGTAAAATGAGCTAGAGCAGGAAATGGCAAACCACTTTTTAAAAAAAAATATTAAAATTAAATTTAATTAAAATTAAGAATATCTTTGTCACAAAGATTCAGACACAGCTGAAATGACTGAACCTTTATACACTCCATTCAGACATAATCACATTGTTAACCATGTGTACACATCTTAAGATAAATGTACTTATGAAAACAGTAATTAGTAACATTTGTTACTATAAAGGAATCTCAAACATAAAGTATGGATATAAAAACTAAATATCATTGTTGGTATAACTTTTAAAATGTTATTTCTGATTTAAACCATGTAGGCTCATTGAGAGCCAATACCCTTTTACGCATCTCTGTATCCCTCATAATATTTAGTCTTACACAGTTTTCAATAAATGCTCAACAAATCTGCACTTAGTCTCTATAAATCCAAGAAAATGCTTCCCCTCCTTTCTTTTCCCAATTGACTGATAAAACAGCTTAGGAATAGGCCACTTTCACCTGCTGCTTTGGAGAGGTGTAGGGGACTATGGTGGGTATGGGACACTATGGAACAGATTTTTTTCAATGTGTTAGTTGCTGAACTTCTCCCTCTTTTAAAAAAAAATTCTTTACAAGGGATGACTGTGAAGGGAGGGACACAGAGGAAAATAGAAATGATGTTAATAAAAATCCATTTTGAAAGTATCTGAATTCCCAAAATTCTAGTCTTTCAGATTCAACTTTGAAGGTTAGGGCTCCAGCCAATTCAAGTTAGACTTATTTTAACCAATGTTTTTTCAAAAGACAGGGTTTGAGGCTAGCGTAGAATATATTGGGGGGAAAGGGAAGATTTTCCTGAATTAAGCAAAATTATTAGGAAGAAAGTAGCAGTGAAAACCTGGGATCAAGTCCTATTTCTGATACCTATTCTGGGCAAGTCAAGTAAAACTCAGTGCCCCAAGGAACTAAAATCTGCAAAAGTTCAGTTTCAGCAGTGGCAGATACAGACAAGCTTTCTCAGTGGCAATTCCCTTCCCTATACTGATAAAATCACAGGTCTAGATAGACCAAAACCCAGAAGTGTGCCTAAATCTTTTATCTTTTATCCCTAATTTGTCCCAGTAAAAGTTAAAATTACACATACCCCTTCAGTGGAAGATAAAAAACATCTAAAACATCCCTCTGATTCACAGGAAACTTTTCTATAGGCACACCTAATTTTCTAAGTAGTTCACTTGGGGTAAAAAAGGAAAAAAAGCAAAAACATTCCTTATGACATCACAATTACTCATTCCAAAATAAACATGGCCCTTTAAAGATGTGGCACAGGGGCAGCTAGGTGGCACAGTGAACAGAGCACCGGCCCTGAAATAAGGAGGATCTGAGTTCAAATCCAGCCTCAGACCAAACACTTGAAACTTACTAGCTGTGTGACCCTGGCCAAGTCACTTAAAACCCCAATTGCCCCCCCCCAAAAGATGTGGCATAGTTACCATTTAACACTGAGTGAGCACTATGAATATACTGAAAATGATGTGCAAAAATAGCTTGATTGGGGATGGGTAGAGGGGAACCTCGGTTAAGGCATAAATCATATTAAACAAAACACAAAGCAGGAAGTTGTAGAACAACTCCAGAAGAAAAAAAAGACCTAAAAAGGCAAATGAGATGTGGGAAGATATGATTTCATACAGTTATAATTATCTTTACAGTATCAACAGCATGGTTGTCAGCTGAACCTTCAGATGAGGATGTTCTCAGCTTATGGTAAAGATTACATCTCAGAATACAATAGCTGATCATAAATGAGACTATCTTCCATTCAGTAGAGAATAATAATCGTATTCACAGGCTTTAGTGATTTTTGGAAGCATTCCATAACTCTCAATAAATCAATTTGTAGTGCTCTGTAAAGTATGCCTATAAACTTTTATAGCTTAATTAATATCTACCTGTAAATTACTTGTAATAAAAATTGACATGAGATTTCACTATTTAACAGAACAAAAAACATTTTGGCATCAGCCCAGAAGATGACTATCACTAATATTCTTGCATTATAGCATCACCCTAGAGTTCATAGCAACCTTCTTCAACATTTATCTACATTAACTATTTAAAGGCTCCAAGTATCTTAGTTTCAAAAAGAGGAACTTCTGTGAAGGAGGTTAAAGTTCCTCTGCCTCTTTCTGTATTATATTCATGGCTTTAAAATGCCTTCTGTTCCCCGTCCAGGAAAAAAACAAAAACAAAAAAAACCTACGTACATTGACACCTTAAATATTTTTGGTTTATTTATCTCAAGGAATGACTCCATGTCTAGTCTGTCAAAAATGTCATTACTAAATTGTTTAAAGAAAAAAAAACATTTCTGAGTCAAGTTTTAGAAAAACAAAAGCAGAAAGATATACTTTCTGTGTGTTAATGAGCAAATCTTTCCTCAGTGAATAGGAACAGTAACCCACCAAAATTTGGCCAGTTTATTCAAAAACATGTAAGTGTACAAGAGTTCTTAGTACCTAAGTTCAAGAACAGACTTGAAGAGACATAAAGGCACCAGAAACAATTCGCTATTTATGGTATCCTAATGCAACTTTAAATTTATTATAATCAAAATGTATTGAAAACAAGTTATAAATTAAAGTTACAATTAAAATATATAAAGTAGGTATAAATGTACAAAGTTATCATTTAAAGGCACCACTTTTGTTTATAATTAAATGGAGTTGATCACATGTCCAAGACTTATTTAAAACAAAATTAATCAAGTTTTACAATTATCCCTGAGAAATGTAAGAAACAAAAAGTAATAAATAACTTAGGTTTTGTGGAAAAGCCCACAGTACTTTAAATGATATTAAAATGCACAGAATCATTTGTTGCCAGCTTAGAGACCAGGAATGTCAAATGATCAACTCTTTTGCTTCCCTCTGAAAAAAGAACAAAAAGAAATTAAGAAATTACAGATTTATACTGCTATCTCATCAGGAAGTGGGAAGGGCTCAGTCACACAAAGTATCTGTAAAGGCCAAATAAGAAACACATCCAGAATTTATACTTAAAACTTTTACTGCTCAATTAAGTCTTGTGCTGTATTAGAGATTAGAACAGCATTTATAATGTGGAGTTCAAAAGAACTGAAAGGTTAACTATTACAAGAACAAAGTTAGACAATGCTTTAAGTTATATTCAACTGGGGCATGTAATTTAAGATGTATCTATTAATTACATTACAAATGTGTTAAGATTTTTTCAATAAAGCAGCAGAGAACCACCACTAGTTACTTTTTATTCAGAATGTTAACTCCAAGACAATGTGTAATTTTAAATATAACTAATACCTTAATTGCTGAGCTAGCCAACTGGAAGATAATTTGTTTGAAGCTCCAGATGATTCAGCAGCTCTCATTATAGCTGCACACCTATGAGGAAAGGTTAACATTCATGAAACTTACTCATTTGTGAACCTAATAAAGCTTATTCAATTATCTAGCTGTAGCATCTAACACCGTACTTATTTCAGGTATATGAAATCTCTACAGCACAAGAAACAAAATTAGAATAAGACACAGGGAGGAGATGAAGTGGTAGCTCTAAGCTTTCTCCAGCTCTCAATCCTATGCAGTCAAATATCCACAAGCCTAAGTTCTACTCAGTGTGGAAGTTTCACCACCTGTAGGAACAAGGAAATGTGTTGGCCAAACCCCCTTCTCTTCCCTCACATGCCAACAGACTAACTCAAGGTTCTTTTCACTACTGGCCTAGACTTGTGTCTCCAGATTTCAGTCCACCTTCCAGAGCCACCAAAACTAATTTTTTTTCCTTTGCTTTTTGGTGAGGCAATCAGAGTTAAGTGACTTGCCCAGGGTCACACAGCTAGTGAGTGTTATGTGTCTGTGGCCGAATTTGAACTCAGGTCCTCCTGACTCCAAGGCCAGAGCTCTATCCACTGCTCAACCTAGCTGCCCCAAAACTATTTTCATAAAACAAAGGCCTGGCTATGTCACCCTACTCAAATTCCAGTGGGCTCCCAATACCTGTAGGATCAAATAAGCCCTCTCCACCTCCCAATTTAGCATTTAAAGTTCTTCGAAATCTAGCACCATCTTCTCTCTCTAGGTTTATTATGTATTATCTCCTTTCCTGAAAACTAGAGGGCAGCCAAACTGGCTGCCTTGCTGGTCATCTCCCATACTTTGCACTAGCTATGTGTGGACTGCTAGAGATCCACCTTGGCATAAGGTGGATAGCATGACCCATCAAAGTCACCTTGGATCTGTTTTGTATATACCTGTATATACAGGTTATCTCCATCTTTAGAATGTGAGCTCCTTAAAAGCAGGGACTTTTGCGTTTGAATCCTCAGTGCCTAGCACTTAGTATGTTCTTAATACATACTTATTAACTATTTTCCTTCTAGCCAAGGGCAAAGTGCTATTTTGTGAATGCAATTGTGCAATGTCCAGGAAAAACAGGTCTGGATCTGTGATTTCATTTGTGCAGCAAACTCCCAGTGAAGAAACTCAAAAATTCCTCACCCAGCTATTCTGCAAATTAGTCTTAGAGAGTTGGAAAGATGCCTAGGGGCACTTTCATGATTACAGCCTGAATTTAACAAAGTGAGCACACTCTGGGACCTGTACATCCTAAAAACAGCTGACAGACAATCCAGAACTTTGAAAGAGGAAAGACTCAACAGAGGACAAAAATCAGAACTTGTCAGTTGTCTTGATCCTGCCTCTAAGTTGTATCTAGCCATAGAAAAGTTGCATAATTAATGTGATAAAACCCATAAAAACTATGAATCACTTTGGAAATGCTGAAGAAAAAGGGTAATTATTAGCCTAGGGAAGCAAATATTTAAATAAAATTTCAGACTGCTCATAGTTGTCAACAAAACTTATGAATTTTATAATTTATGAATTAGTCTTCAGAGGCTAATTTTTAAACTGTATATTGTCATAGAGAGCTTGCCCAGGTTCACACAGCTGCTATATGAAAGAAGTGGACTTGAATCTAGGTCTTCCAAGTCCAAGGCCAACTCTCTATATCCACTATGCCAGACACTTTATATACTGGTCTCCAAATCACTATAGCTACTATATTGTAAAACGAATACAGTGATTTTAGTATTACTGCTTCTGGACTATCAGTAGTTGGCCATTTAAGGTATAAGTGTATCTCAGGTTAATGTTTTGAGTTGCTTATTTTTAATAGCCTGCTTTATTAGTCTGGAATAGCTAAAACCAGATTTTTACCCTGCTCTGGAGACGGAATGACCACTGTGTTTGCAGTTATGATCCAAAGGATGTCGGTGCTTAATACAGAAGTTATCATTACACTGGTCACAAAGCAGCTTGAACATTTCTTTCTTTTTGCATCCCTCCTTTGAGCAGCGGTGTATGAAAATCTAAAAGCAACCAAAACAATGAAAATTGACTCACTAGCAACAAACTGACGAAATTAGGAGGTCTAACAAGCAACAAGACATCTGTTTAAAACTACACATGTAATACTCTGTAACAGGAATGAGATAATTAAAATCCACAATTAAGTATCCAAATTGGAAACTAATTGTGCCTGCAACAATCAATTTAACCTCATTTGCCACCAAACCTCAAAGCTACTATAAGTAGCAAGATTGGAGGTGTTCTAGAGAACATTACATTGTCAAAATGTAGGCTGAAAGTAATATACCACAATCAGTCTCATTTTGGTTACAGAAGGCTTGTACCTCCAGAACAAAACCATTTAGTAGCCTGATATTGTTTGCGTAAAAGAGGTTTTCTCAGTGCTAGCTATCAACTATGAAAACAGTAATTTTAGGGTCATTACTCTCAAAACCCAAAAAGAAACCAGAAGTAGAAACGTGACTATTCATTCCGAGCTTTAAGTTATCCTCAGAGGTAAAAGATGAATGCAAAAGAAAATCTCTAAGGACAGAATTGAGGCAATAAGATGTTGAGTATTTTTCCCTAGCCAAGTTATCTATCCATTGATTTTACAACTTATGAAAAATTCTACTTACCTTTTTCTCCTGAGCTGGATTATATTTACAGTCTTTATCCATATGTTGCCCAACCACAACATCTGCAATTTCTCCCCTTCCTACTGGAACAGGGATATGACAAAGTGGACACACTGGAACCTGCACATCCTAAAAACAGCAAATTTTAGAGGTTGATAGACAAACCAAAACATCTGAAGAAAAATATGGCGCAGCAAAGGATAAAAATCCGAACTTGTCCTGATTCTGCTTCCAGTTTGTATGTAATTACATTAAAGTTGCATAGCTAATATATGGTAAGGTAATCAACAAAACCTGTATGATCACTTTGGAAATGCTGGGGGGGAAAAGGCCAGTTAATGGTCTCAGGTGGCAAATATTTCAATAAAATTTCAAACTGCTCAACAATCCTTAGTTCTAATATTCATGTGTACTTAAGAATTAGGCTCCAACTCCTAAAGATCTATTAACCCTAAGGAGTATGGCACAGCAGCAAGTGTGCAGGATTTGGGACCAGTAAAGCAGGTCCGAGTCTTTTCTGGCTGTATGCATCATTCTCCTTATGTACAAGATGGGAATGATGTTTATTTTACCAGCCTCAAGGTGCTGTGGAAAGAGTTTTGTAAAGTGCCTTATTAGAGCTATAGAATATATAGCTAAATAGTCTGCTTTGTACAATGAATGAAATCTATTATATAAAGTTACCTTGTTTTAAAATATAGCCAAAACTGTAAGATCTCTTGTAAAATGCAGAATTTTAGAGGTGAAATGAACTTTAGGGGTAGTCTAGTCTAACTTCCCATCTGATATATAAATCCCCTCTTCATTTTTGACTTACTTTTCACCACATATTTCAAATCAACTATATTATAAAAATGGAACCACTATTTTTATTCTATTAAAATGTGTCAAAAATTAGTCCTAACGTTTATATGCTTAGAATTTCTAAAAACAGACAAATCTGAATTACCTTTTTATATGTGGCACTACATTTATGCTGCTCATACTGAACGTGATCTTTACAAAAGACTTTGTTACATGCATCACAGTTTAATGGAAGAAAATCTAAGAAAGACATAGAAATATTTTGAGTACTAAAGCAAAAACACAACTGCATGATACAACAATTTTACCTGCATTCTATTTTGGACTTTAATATTCTGTCATTAACTATTAGATTACACAAACATAAATTTTGTTAAGAATTTTAGAAAAAGTTCTTAACTCCAAACATGAATCAGTATTTCACACAGCTAACTGCTATTCCTGAAATCTAGTTACAATTCCATAAGATACTATCTTGTAGTACTAAAAATGTAGATTAAAAACAAATTAGGCTAGTGATTAACTAGCTTAATACTGACTCGTCAAGTTTTTTTTTTAAATAAAATGTGCAGACACATGAACTTACTAATCTATACAATTTCTCATTCACCATGAAGAAAGCACCCAAACTAGCCTTTTTCAATTAGTATTCCATTAACAAAGCTCACCCAACTGCTTGCAAGTTTTTTCAGAACAATGCTCTCCCAAGTCTGGAAATTCCATTGTAGAAAGAAAAAGTGCTAGCGACACAAAAACCAGTTGCAACGTTGCTGCCGATGACCTGTAAGAAAAAGAGTGTTAGATGAGAAACAGCGACCTCACCACAGGGATAATCAAGATTTACAAATTCCCAGTCAGCCTTCACAAATGCCCCCAACTGGCAGATGGACAGGCAGGGATCCAATCTTAGTCAAAGCAGTGGGAAACATCTAATACTGACGGTTTTAGGGCCATCATACCAACTTCTGTCTACATTAGTGATAGTGGCAACCCACAATAGTCCACTGCATTAGCTAGGCGGAGTCATCAGATCCCCTGCTGCTCATTTCAACTCCAGGGCTTCAAATTTTACTGTGTTCTTTAACAGCTCAAGTAAGAATCCGGCTGGGGAAATGAACCAACGGTTGTATCATTCATTATCAAGTTCCTCTGAAAGAATGGAGATATGTGTGTCTATACATACTTCTGTACATACATATGTATGTACGAAGCTCGGTGGCGCACTGGACCTGGGGGAGGAACAGAGTTCAAATCCAGTTTCAGGCATGCCCTAGCTATGAAACCTTGGACAAATCAGTCACTTAACCTATGTGCCTCAGTTTCCTCATCTGTACAAATGAGGATAATAGCACCCACCTCCCATGAGAATGACTAAGTACTTCAAAAACAAAGTGCTTTGCAAATCCTATATTATATAGATTAAGTTAAACCAGAACAATAAACTATGCCACGTTTTGTCCTTCAATAACATGTGAACATCCAGACTTTTGCCAGCTAAGATGCAGCACAAAGGTTATTACAGCCGTCCTGGTCTACGCTGCGGCTGAGTACTTACCCGGCTAGGTAATACTATCATCTGATCCTCACAACAGCTTGGTAAGTGAGAAGGAGCAGTTACGACTGTCTTTTACAGGAAAGGAAACCAAACTCGGAGTGGATAAGTGACTTGCGTAAGATAACACGATAAATAGCACAGAGGCAATTCCGGCGTACTTGCCATTGGCGGCAGCAGTGAAACAGCGCTCCCCCCACACCCCCAAACCCATCAGAACAAGCGGCGCTTTGCTGGCTCCCAGCCCTCCCCTCTTCTCGTCTTTCGTTCCTGCCAAAGGATGTTTCGCTTCGTACAAGGGAGCGAGGTAGTTGCTGGGGAGTGAAGCCAGGAAAACCCCAACAAAAGTCCAGGGAAAGTACAAACGCAATTTCGAAGAATCGCCGAGGACGCCGGAGAGAACGGCCTACTCACCTGGCGACGCAACCCCCACTGCAAAACAACTCGCGGCTTCCCGGTCCCGGCTATTTATTAGCTTGCTCACAATCACCTGGGAAAAGACTATTGCCAAGTCACGGTTCAGCGCGCTCCGATTCCGTCACCAGTCAACTGGCCAATCAAAACGTACGGTCTCCTCCTACCCCGCCTCTTCTCCCGAGCGTCCGGGTAACTTCTAGAAGTCCACGCCCCCGGCGTCCGCGGTGACTCAGGCCGCTGGGTGAGGGTAGCTCAGCACCACCCAAGTCACGCGGAAGTGCGATAGGCTGTGCTGAGTCAGGGGGCGGGGCCGGAAGGCGCTTGGTAAAGAAATGAGTAACTCCTTCAACAAGTGTTTGGTGGGTCCCTGCTGTGTGCTGATGTCTGGAACAGCCTCTGCTTTCCAGGAGCTTCCATTTTAGGAGGGGAAGAGGGGGAGAGACAGTCAGTAAATTCAAACGTGAAAGCAAAATCTATACAAAATAAACATTAGGTGATTTGGAAAGGGTTGTGGTGGCAGCAGGAGGGTTCACAAGCCATTTACCGAGCTGTGATGGGGGATACAGAAAAGGCAAACAAAAACCTTCCCTGCCCTCACACTGTTCACTGCATGTGGAGTAGGCAACATGGAAACAACTAAAAACAACTATGATAGGGGATAAATCAGAATAATCTCAGGGAAGGCACAAAAATTACGTAGGATTGGAAATCCCTTCTTGTACAAGGTAGAACTTTAGCTAAGGCTTGAAGGAAGCCAGGAGGTCGATATGAATGAGAAAGCATTGATTGTAGGCCTGGAGAACAGCCAGTGAAATTGGGAGATGAATAACTCGGAGGCCAATGTCATTGTTTGGGTTATCACACTCAGGTCGTGTTTTGTGTAGGTCTGGTCTAGCAGATGTTTTGGATTCACCTTGTGTTTTGGTTTCAGTCCCAATTTAATTGAATGATTACCTTCACTGATAGCCATCTCAACCAACTTTTTTTTTCTGGTTGCTTTTTCTGAGAAATGTTTAACTGGGTTCCCTTGTGTAAATCCTATTTCATGTAAATCTTTCAGACCTTGGGAGAGAGGGTGCCACATTACCTTTCCAGCTTGACCTAATAAATTTTTTTTCTAAAACTATTTAAAATTTTTTAGAAACAATTGGATCACAGAATAGTTGGAGGGTAGTAAGATGTGAGAAGACTGGAAAGCTAGTAAGAGGTCAGTTTCTGACTTCATGTCCCCATGTGGGGTTTTCTTGACAAAGATATTGGAATGGTTTGTCATTTCCTCCTTTAGCTCATTTTACAGATGAGGAAACTGAGGCAAACAAGTGACTTGCCCAGGGTCTCACAGCTAGTAAGTGTCTTAGGCGGTCTTAACATACTTAGTGTCTTAAGTATGTCACATCCAGCATCCTGCCTGCCCCATCTGCCTCAAACACTCTACCTCAACAAAAGGAAGAGAAAAGACAGCCCAGAAGACAAGGTGGAGGGACACATGCTTAGCAGGTATAACCTGGTTGAAGATCCAACAAAGGAGAGTGAGAAAAAGCCACAGGAAGCAGAGGACCAGGAGAGAATAGTGCCACAAAAACCAGGTAAAGAAGGAGTGGCCAGGAGGAGATATCCATTGACAGTGTCAAAAATTGCAGAAAAGTAAAAGGACATTAGATTTAATTAAGCAATTAAGAGATCATTGATACCATTGAAGAGAACTGCTTGGCTAAGTGATGAAGTCTGGAAGCCAGATTACAGAGTTTGGAAGTGAGTGAGAGGACAGGAAATGGAGACACATTGTGTAGACAGCTTTCTCAAGTGGTTTAGCCAAGAAGAGGACAAATGTAACTCAGTAGCAAGTAAGGATGGAAAGATCAAGGAAGGACCTTTTCAGAATGGGAAAGACCTACAGATGTTTATAGTCATCTGTAAATAAGCCAGTGGATGGGGGAGATTGATTATTAGAGAGAGTTGGAAGAAGATAGTAGAGGCAAACGCTGGAGAAAGCAAAAGAGAATGGGGTGAAGGGTACCAGTATAGAGGGGTTTACCTTGGCAAGGAGAAAGGCCCTGTTCCTGTAAAATTTGAATAAAGGAGAAGATAGTGGGGAAAGATGTATTAATGATAAAAGAATAAGGAAGAGGAGGAAAATACAGCTCTTAGCAAATATCCTTTATTTTTTCAAGGAAGCAAGGTCTTCACCTGAAAAGATGAGTGGGAGGTTTTTGTGGGACATTATAAAAAGGTTTGGTGAGTAAAAGAGCAAATTGATTAGGGAGGCCTAACAGGATTGCCTGGCTACAGTGAGGACCCAGTTGAGATAATGTAGCATAAATTTATAATAGACCTAATCAGCCTGCTTATAAAAGCTCATCCAAACAGAAGAGAAGCTCATAAAAAACCAAGACTGGGTCTTTTTTACCTATTTTTTTTTTCTGTGTATTATACTGCTCTTGACAGGCAGCATGATACTAGACAGAGCATGGTTTGCTGTCCACCTCCAGATAAAGAGCTGATGAACTCAGAGTTCATGTTGAAGCACATTTTCTTCTTTTTCATAATATTTTTGGATGTGGCTCCTTGAGGAATATATTTAACTATACATATTTGTAAGGGGTTTTGTTTTTCTCTCCTTCTCAATGAGTGGGGCAGGAGCAGGAAAGAGGGAAGAGTGAGGGAATTCAGGATTGAGAAGAAAAGAAAATTAATTCATTGAATAAGCTCTTCCAATTTCTACCTGTGTGACCATGGGCAAGTACCCCCAAACAGTTCTCTAAAATCAGGCTTCTTAACCTTTTTTGTGTCATGGACCCCTTCAGTTTGGTGAAGCCTATGGATCCCTTTTCAGAATAAACTTTTTAAGTGCATAAAATAAAATACATAGGATTACAAAGGAAACCACATCTATTGAAATACAGTTATCAAAATATTAGGAAAAAAAAGAATCAAGAGAACATTGCAGAACCAAGAGAACATTGCATACAGTAACAGTAATATTTTTCAAAGGATAACTGTGAATGACTAAGCTATTCTGAGTATTATAAATATTCAAATCAACTACAAAGGACCTATGAAGGAAGATGCTATCCACCTCCAGAGAGAAATGATAAATAGAAGTATGCATAGTATGGTTTTACATAGATAGATAGATAGATAGATAGATAGATAGATAGATAGATAGATAGATAGGTACTTTATCTATCTATCTATTTATCTATGCCAAATGGTAGTCTCCAGTAGTTTGGGGTGGGAAGGGGGGGAGGGACACAGTTTAGAACTTGGAATGTAACAAAAAAGATCATAAATGAAATTAAAAAAACATACAACTTCATGGACCCTGGTTAAGACTGTAAGTTACAAATGAGTTGCTTATCTGTGTCAATGGAGGAAGTCCCTACACTGGAAGTACCTTATACCAACAGGATCATAGACCCACATCAAAAAAAAACAAAAAAAAGCTGTTGTATTTAGAATATTATAGACTCATAAAATCCCTCCCTAGGCTACACTGCTGACTCATCTCCACAGGACTTTTTCTTCCCAATCACAGAAACCTCTTTACCCTAGAAGCTCACTCCATCCCTGGACTACTTCTCAGGTACACCCTGCCCCTGAGGCCTCAATTTCTGATTGGCTGGCTCCTCCTAGGACCTCCAAATTAAGAAAGAGACCCAGACTAAAAATGGTATTATCCCACTAGAGGCTGCACTGCTGACTCATCTCCACAGGAACATCTCTACCAACACCCCCACCATTGCTATGTCCCACCACTCTGTAACTGGTGAATGTGAGATCATAGACTTGAATCTGTTCTTTCACTATGACATCCTGTTATCGAGAGGGATCTCCTACCCACCCTAAAAAATATGGATTTTTTTTCAAATACTGAATTGTTTGTGTCAACAATGACATCATACATATTACCAGAGAGTAATATCTCATTTGGTATCTCCATTAACCTCCTGCCACTGTCTTTAATTTAGTAATGAGAGCCATAGATTTGACTATTAGCTATTCCTAGAAGTGAAGGGGATGATGTCTTTCTTCAACTTTGAGTCTCTAGCACTTAGCACAGTACTTAGCACACACCATATTCTCTGTGTGTGTGTGTGTGTGTGTGTGTTTTCAGCTGAGTTTAATTTAAGAAAATTAAATCGAGTGAAGTGAAATCCAACTAAGGATGCCCCTGAAATATACATTCCAGACAACAAATTTTCATTTACATAATATTTAAGGGCAAAAGTCTAATTTACAGCACTTGGGTAATTTACAAGCCCTGGGCCCAGTTTCTTCAAGATGAACAGGATGATCTGTCTCTCCTACCTTCAAGCTCTGTACTATACTGAAATACCCTCCTCCCCTTAAGAGAGAAATAACACAGCATACCCACAAATATCCTTGTTTCCACTTTTATCCAGTAACACTTGTAGGAATACACATTCTACAGGCAACCAATCTTAGCAAAGGTGAGGTGTGGCTGACTTTGGTTGTCAAATGTGTGAGAGTTAAGTTCAGAGTCACTGGAAAGAGCGTTTGCTAGATTTGGGATGAGAGGACCTAGGTATGAATTCTGGCATTATCACTTAATACCTGTGTGACCGTGAATCTCTCAGAACTTCAGTTTCCTCATTCGTAGAATGACTAGATGACCTCTGAGTTACCTTCCAGCTGTAAGTCTATGATCCTATAATACCATGTACATCTCTTCAGACTGTATGGGTGTACACCACTATAGGCACCATGGCTGTGGAGAAAGCAGCAGCAAACCCATTTCCTACCCAGCCGCACTCATTTTGGACTTCTTTGACCCCCTCAATTTTCAGCTTTCTTTTGTGTGTTGTCTTCCACAATTAGATTTTAAGCTCCTTGAGGGCAGGAACTGTCTTTCTTTTTCATATTTGTATCCATAGCACTTAGCATAGTGCCTGGCACATAGTAAGCACTTAATAAATGTTTATTGACTATTGACTAACACACCTACTGGGCAGCTAAGTGGCACAGTGGATAGAGCACTGGGCTTGGAATCAGGAAGACTCATCTTCCTGAGTTCAAATCTGGCCTCAGACACTTAGTAGCTGTGTGACCATGGGCAAGTCACTATGGGCAAGTCACTTAACCCTGTTTGCCTCAGTTTCCTCATCTGAAAAATGAGCTGCAGAAGAAAATGGCAAACCACTCCAGTATCTTTTCCAAGAAAACCCCAAATGGGGTCATGAAGAGTCAGATACAACTGAACAATAATAAACACACCTACT